TCAAAACTTTATATAGCAATATCAAACTGCAGAAGTAAGTCAATGTATCAACAGGATGGACAAGAAAAAAATCTTGTGTATGCCGATCCGCCATGATTAATTTGCGATATGCACGCTCGTGTAAACATGCGTACTAAAGTACGGCTAAATGGCGAAACAAGCGATAAATATTCGACTTTTTAGCCTCGAACAAATTCCCCACCCCGGGGCTAACCTGCAGAAAGCAAATGCCCGACCCTGGGAACAAGTACAGTTGAGAATGCCCGACAAACGCCCAGGGGGGGGGGGCAACCATGGAATTGATTGAGACATAAGTATCATGTTCGCCTTTTCCATTGTTTGGATATATTTGGCTTTGTTTACATTTATATTTGCATATTTATTTACATAATTTTCATATCGATATTTTGATATGCATGACCAGACATTGTCAATACAATACTTGAAGAAAATTCAATCTGGAAGTTGTGGAAGACAGGTAATTCAAATGCATGCATGATGTGGAATTTGTCTTGTTTAGGTATACTAAAGCCCGGCGTATGGGGGTTTTAACAGACCAGTTTGCCCCAGGGGCGGGGGATTTAATGTTTTTTAACATTTGGTTGTGTTAAATTCCCCGCTATGTCCCGGGGGTGGAGAGGGGGGGGGGCGATTTCAAATGACTACCGCATTAATTGCATCATAATTTTTGAAAATATTAAAGGTAAATAACTGTTGTTACTGTTCATGTAAGCTGGCAGCAAAAAAATTTCATATTTTAGTCAAAATGTTAGATGACATTGTAAATTATACTGTATGTATGAATTCAGGGTTTGATTCTAATAGAATTAAAATAGGGTTAAATAAATACCTTCATAAATTTCATGGCAACAAGTTTGAAACCTTTCTGTTCAAATCGTTTTATTATGTCAGCAATTAATCCACGATTAACACCGTCTGGTTTGACCATGATGAAAGATCTTTCAGAACTCATGATTTTAGTGTAAGTTCAGGATCTGAAATTTACAAATACAGTTCAAATATTTAGACCACGTTGTCTTCGGCGAAGGAAAAAAGCTTGAAAGGAAAATCAGGAAGCTGCCAGCTCATTATATGCATGCGATGTTTCCAGATTCCACAATAAAATTTCAATAAAATTTCAGCTTAATTAAAATTTCGATAGCTACCTTTAGCTACCGAATAGCCACCACTACCGCATACAGAAGTCCATCTCCATTGTTTTTTGCGAAAGCGCTATTCGTCATGATTCCGTCACTCAGCAAGTGCCGTAAACAGAAGCAGTCACCCCCTGGAAATATTCAAAATGGCACACGTCCAGGGAGGGGGGTGGGGACTGCTTCTGTTTACGGTACACGGCTAAAAACGATCAGGTGGTTGCAATGTTGATAAAAACAACAATGTTTTTGCTGCCCACATTGTTCACAGTCATCGACAACATTGAACAATATTGTTACACCCGATTCCAACTCAACAATATTGTTCAATCGGTTGACAAGTGTGAACAACGTGGGCAGCAAAACATTGTTCAATCCTGTTAAACAGCGGGCTCAGCGTTTTTACGCGTGTACTGCTCAGTGACGAATCATGACGAACAGCAGTCAGGTAAAAAACAATGGAGATGGATTTCTGTATAGTATTCTGTGGCTACACTGTCAAAACCTATGGTCAAAACAGATGCAGCGCCTTTCAGGGGGGGGGGGGCAGAGGGAGCAATTTGCAAAATAAAAATAATAATTTGGAAAGTTTTTTGATATAAATAATGGTGTGAGTAAAAATTTTCTAAACCTAAAATTTGCAGATCGATATTGGTCCAAAAAAGGGTTTTACCCATGTACGTTTTAACAAGAATTTGACCGGAAAAAAAATTTAAACCTTAACTTAAGTGATGTTAGTCCTGAAAAATTTTTTTGACCCTTTTTCAATGTCCGGAAAAAATTTTACTCCCCGCCCCCCTCGCCAACATTTTTGGGAAAAAATAGGGCCCCCAAAATAAAAATTCAGTGCCTCGGGCCCCCGTGCTTTTTAACTGTTTGACTGCAACCTTTTTAATGTATATTGGTTAAAAATAGACAGACTTCAATAAAACCAACTGAGAATTAAAACACGAAAAATAAAAAAAAATTCTCAGTAATCTTCGGAATCACGACAAAAATATTTCTTTCGTTTATACCCACTAAACGGTGTGGACGGTAATTTGAGCTCAGAAATTGTACAATTTACGCAGTTCAGTGAGTGTAAAATAATTAGATGTTTAATTAGAGTGATATGCTGCTATACCTTAACTAAGTTACCATTTTACTAATTAAATCTGGTCAAATCATGATTCACGGAAATTAACTGGCAATTTTCGCTTCACAAAATTACCCTTTATCGTTTTCGTTCAAATAGACTTTGTAAAAAACAAAATGTCTGTCTTTGTAAAAAAACAAAATGTCAGGATCATATGCAATGCATACTTTACTTGCATTTACTTACATATTAAAATCGCGCGATTGTAGATACAGGCCGGTGCGCAATTAAATTAAAAATGAACGAAAATAATCAGCGTGGAAAACGTTCGTTATTACGTACTTTAAATGGAGCAGAGGGTTACTTTGAATTTTAGTTTTGAATTTTGAACACAGTGTTTAAAATTTACCGTCAAATTGAGAGCAGTCGTAGAGTGAAGACGTGTAATTTTCGCTCCGCTAACTCAATCAAAATGTCTTTAACCGAACAAAGCCTTCTACATAATCTGTCTGTAAACGATAAAGGAAAGCTGATTTGGAATTCTTCATGCATATGATCTTCTACGAAAATTTGTCGAAGAAGTACTAAATCTACCGAATGGAGAATATTCATCTCCTGGGGGCGATGCAAAATTGTTTGAAAGCGAAGGCGTCTGCTAAAGCTAAAACAATCACATTGAATGGAAGGTGTCAAAGCGAGACCGAAGAAAAACTGTACTCGATAGCCTCAATTTCTAAGGAATTAGCTGAAGTAGACAAGCAGAATAGTGACACAGACTGTGCTCTGGGGAACTCTTTTATATCTCCTGCCGAAGCAACCAGTAAACCCAATCGTAACGACAAGTCTCTGGAAAAACATATGAAATCTTTTGAAAATCGGCTGCAGGTTTTATCTAAAGAATTTGCTGCGAATATGTCAACTGTAAACAACATATTGTTGGAACATTCAAACGAGCTAAAGCAAATTAATAATCCACATCCAGATAGTGAATTAACAGCTTTAAAACGAGAAAATCTTGAACTCAAAAACCAAAATAAAGACTTAACCGATCGAATAAGTAATTTCTGATTTGCAAGGGAAAGCTAAAGTAGCTGAGGACGAAAAAGCCAGCCTAATTACATCTGTTCGGCTATTGTGTAATGATTTGGGAATCAGTCAACCATCAAACGGCAATTACCCTTTACAAGACAATCGACCACCCGAAAATAATACCGAAGCGGAGCGTTAACAATTTCGCAATAACATTTTAACCCAAAATAGCCTCAGTGCACAAAGCACGGAAGAAATAAATTGTTCAAAGAAAAAATCGTTGGATTATGATCGAGTTGCAGGACCGGCTGTCCCAACCAGTAACCGTTTCTCCCATTTGAGGGAAGAGGAAGCCAATAGTTCCTGCTGAAATAAATGAAGTAAATAAAAATCTAAATGGTCATCGACAGAAGGAAAATCAATCTGAAAACAAACCAAATATCACCATTGTTGGAGACTCAATGATTAAGAACATTAACCCTCGTAAACTATCAAGAAAACGGGTTAATAAATTCACGTTTCCAGGAAAAAGAGCGGAGGAAATTGCATTTGAAATAAAGAATATAAATGTTCAGTTACATCCAACCCATGTTATTATACACGCCGGGACGAACAATCTACCAACCGACACAGGTGATCAGTGTATAAAGAACATCAAAGGTTTGTGTTCTAGTATTAAAGAAAAGTTTCCTAAGGCTAAATTAGGTGTTTCAAGTATCATTTTATGGAAAGATATTGAAGTATCGAGTAAAATGTATCAAGTAAATGAGGATCTAAAACGTTTATGTAATGAATCTGGCTTTTCTTTTATTGACAATTCAATCATAGATGAATCTGGACTTAATAATAGTAAATTACATCTGAGCGCAAAAGCATCTGTTTTACTAGCTACACGCTTTATTAAATTTTTAAACCCTGATAAACAATTAAATGAACAACCAGTAGGAAACCATGCATGTACCTTCTGAAAATTTTCTCGGAGATCTGCTAAATCTGGCTGTCTTAACTCAGACATCTATGTCTCAAAGAAGACGAACTCGTTAAATGATAATTATCCCAATACTAATAGTAATGTATTGTATCCTCTAAGTATAATTGCTAAATCAAAAGGATTTTGAATGTAAATAGTCTTTTGAAACATATCGATGAGATTCGAGTGATTTTAGAAAAAAATCCGCTGGATGTCCCAGCTATAAATGAGTCTAAAATAGATGACTCTATTTCTGACAATGAGATCAAAATACCAGGATACGCTTTGTGCCGAAAGGATCGTAATAGAAATGGTGGGGGTGTCGTGTTGTATATCAGAGACTGCTTTTCATTAATAGAGCGGAAAGAACTGATTCCTAATCAGCTTGAGATGGTGTGCATTGAAATCTGCCGTAAATACGGTAAACCTTTCTTAATTAGTGCTTGGTACAGGCCACCAAATTCAAACATAGATCTATTTGACAGTTTTGAAATGTTTATTAACAAATGTGAGATAGAAAGTAAACAGCGATCTAAATTGTGACTGGAATAAGACGCCGTTGGACAGTCATACGCAAAGACTAAAAAATATATGTGTGTTGTATCAACTTAGTCAAATTATTGATGAACCAACGAGGGTGACTAAGTCTTCAGCAACTCAGATTGACCTAATTCTGGCCAATAATCCCGAAAGCATCTCCAATCATGGAGTAATTGAAATTGGGATTTCAGATCATAGTTTGATTTATGCTGTTAAAAAACTAGTTCCTTTAAAAGGACAGAGAACATGTAGTGAAGTTCGAAATTTTAAAAACTTTAATGAAAGGTTATTTTTGCACGATTTGTCTAGGATCCCCTGGGATTATGTCAATCAATTTAATAACCCGAATGATAGCTGGCAAGTCTGGAAGTCCTTCTTTATAGAAGTACTTGATAGACACGCGCCAATTCTGAGGAAGTATATTAAAACTAAAAGAATTCCATGGCTAAATGCCTCTATTAAGCAACTAATGAGGCAAAGAGATTTTCATAAAATGATGTTTAAAAAAATCAATTCTGAGATGCATTGGGAAAAGTTTAAAACCATTAGAAATAAAATTAATGCTGAAATCTTAAAGCTAACTATTTCAATACTAAAATATCTGAGTGTCTTCAGCATAAGAACGTAAAAAAAAGTTGGTCATTGATTAATAACCTACTTGGGGAAAAATTCAAAATCAACCATTATCAATGAAATTAGGACTGATAGTAATGTAATTCTTCTGTAATGCTAGCTAAAGTTCTTAAATTATCTGCAGATATAATTGCACCATCTCTGACAACAATCTTTAACCAATCACTACATACTGGCATATTTGTCAATGACTGGAAATTAGCACGTGTGCAACCGATTTATAAATCTGAGGATAGAAGCAAATGTGAGAATTACCGTCCAATTTCTATTCTCCCAGTTGTAAGTAAAATTTTTGAAAAAGAAATTTTTCAGCAATTATATAGTTATTTATCTGCAAACTCACTAATTTCAAAGTTTCAATCTGGATTTCGACCTAAACATTCATCTCTAACCTTACTTCTCCAGATGTGCGATGAATGGCTAAAAAATATGGATGAGGGTAAAATAACTGGTCTTGTTTCTCTGGATATCAAGAAAGCATTTGATTCAATTAATTAACCATCAAATTTTAATGTCAAAAATGAAAGACCAGTTTGGTATTCGTGAAAATGAATTGAATTGGTTTACCTCTTACTTGACTGATCGTCAGCAAGTTTGCTGTGTAAATGACCATATATCTTCTTGGAAATCCATAGAAAGTGGTGTGTCGCAGGGGTCCATTCTCGGTCCTTTGATGTTTTTATTATATATTAATGATTTGCCGCAATATTTAAAATTTACAACTCCGGGTTTATATGCTGATGATACGCAGATATTTGCCTCGTCTGATAATTATGATGAACTGGTGGAACTATTAAATTCTGATTTGAAAAATATTAATAGATGGCTCTCGGATAACAAACTGCAACACCATACTACTAAAACTAAGCTAATGTTCATAGGCTCCCGGTACAATATCAAAAATAAAATTGGAGATAAATTAGTGACCTTTAAGAATAAACCATTAAAACGGTACAGATCTTTTAAATGTTTAGGAGTTGAGTTGGATGAACACCTTAGTTGGGAAGTTCACATTAATGCAATCTGCAAAAAGGTTGGTGCAGGGATAAGAGTTTTAAAACGCACAAAACCATTCGTCCCCAATGAAACCCTGCACATCATCTATAAGGCGTTAATTCTGCCATGCTTTGATTATTGCTCCCCTTTGTGGGATAATTGCGGAATTGTACTAAAAGAAAAACTACAGAGATTCCAAAATGGAGCTGCAAGGGTGTTGACGGGAGCAAGTTATGATACAAACTCCTCTGAGCTCCTTGAACGGCTTAACTGGGAAAATCTTGAAAACAGACTTAGATTTAATAAAGTGGTTCTGGTATACAACATTCTTAATAATGGTACTGCCCCCTGTCTTCGAGAATTCTTTTCTGCACGAAGCAGTAATGATAATGACTATCATCTCAGAAATTATGATACAGATCTCTCACTTCCAAAACCTAAGAAAGAATTTCTTAAAAAAAGCTTTAGGTATAGTGGAGCTGTACTGTGGAATAGTCGTTCTGCTGAGGCTAAATCTGCTCATTCGATTCATTGTTTCAAAAGACTTATTTGAATCTTGCTTTTAAATGCTATTCCATTTGTAACTACAAATTATGTTCTGGGTAATATTCTCTTTGGGTCTGTGGGTTGATTAGTTTTTTCTTTATTTTTATATACTTGTAAATAGCTAAAAGACGCCCCTCATGAAAACCAGCCGTATATATAGCTGATGAAGATTGCGTCTCTAAAGAAATTAAATACATACATACATACATACATACATACATACATACATACATACATACATACATCATTAATAATTCATAAGCTTATTGGAAATCATGTCAACCATAATATGTCACGTGCAACGCAGTGACTTTAAACCTGATAAAACACTCCTAATTAGTATTCTTTATATAAATAATACTAATAAGGCAGTATCTATTGTAGTCGTGTCCTCATTAGTATTCTTTATAAAAAAGAATATTATTAAGGCAGTATATCTATTGAATTTGTAGTCGTGTTTGAAGCCGTTTAATAAACTCGCAGGGCGTGTTTTATTAGATTTAAAGCCACTCGCGCTGCGCGCTCGTGCTTTAAACCTAATAAAACACTCCTGCTTGTTTATTAAACCGAACATTGTCACTGTTAAAATGTCCGGCAACAGGTTGGTTAGCATCTTTATCGGTGACATCACAACGATGGTCTTGGTGAGAACCTTAATCCTTATTATCCTCGAACGTCTTTCAGTTTCCCCCAATGTAAAGCTTGACACATTTACTATAGATAGATAGAACTTTTTATTTAAACACGCTAACCATTGTCAACTTAGGCTGATTTCCACGGCCAGGGGACGTGTACAATAATAGGCCTTTCGAAGGCCTCCTGTATTTCCCGATCTGAAACACTTGGAGACCATATGTATCTTATGTTCCAAATATTGACAGATATACTGAACGGAAAACAACCCGGCAACGTCAGACTCTTTGATTTCCTCCAAAACCCCTTCGGTCACTTTCGACATGGCAAAAATATCCAACCGCAGTCTATGGCTACCATTCACAGAATTCGTTCGTCATCACCAAATATAATGAAGCGTTTCCTTGTTGCGTCGGCCAACGTGAAACCTGCGATTTCGTAAATTCTACAACAATTATTTCAGCAGTAAAATCTATATTTACTATCAAGCACTACTTTTGCATGCATGCATGCATGCATGTACGTTCTCCAATCTAATCTACGGTGTCTCCTGCAGTAGATTTGGCACGCTTTAGTGAACATAATTGTCGTGCTAATACTGCCAACGACAGTACTGCCAACCAACCTGTTGCTAGAAATTTAAAATTTGCCCATCACAGTTTTTAAACATGAAAATTTGAGCAGCCTGCCTACTTCCGGTAGCAATGATAGCCACAAGAATTGAAATGCGTCTCATTTCCAACTTGAAAACTTGCCAACGTCCACCCCTATGATATTTGTAGCGGCCGCAGCTTTTTGTTTAAAGAGGGCGCTGTAACTGTGCGCAACAAGGAGACCAAAAGTCAGCACGTCGATTCATTCAAGATGATTTAAAATTTGTCAAACTATAAAATACATACATATAAATTAAAACTACTATTAAAATATAACAAAATCTCGATATATAAGACGACAAATTACAAATATATGAACACAATGACGTTACTTACGACTAATGGGGATTCGATTGATTCGACTTCTTCGGTTTCGCGAACTGTGCGACTATAGTGCAGCTCCGTGTAGTCCAGTTGCGTCGTTTCCCCGAGTTGCTCCGGGCTGGTGGCATCTTTCTTATGGCAATTAGTAGCAAAAAAGGCGATCGATCTGTCTACGTTGCTGTTACTCGATAGAATGCTGAGGAATGTTTCAGGTTCTTCCACGGTTACTGTGACTCGGTTCACTGCGGCACGATCTTGGGTATATTCACCGTCTTTTCCGGCACAGCCGATAACCGTCCATCCAAACTTGTATTCTTCAGCCCATGGCTCGTCCTCGTTGCCACAGATCATGCGTAGGGGTTGAAATGCATATGGCACATTCCGACCTATCAACATCCCAATTTCTAGGTCTGGGCGATGGTGGAGATGCCGACTGATCTCTTGGAGATGTTTCCAATTTGACACTATTTCTGGCGTTGTGATGTCGAGCTGGCTTGCTGGGACATTCTCTCGCGAATAGGCATGAGGAATCTTTATGGGCTGATGACGACCCTCGGCATCTTGAACGCGTAAACCATTTACCTTCTTAGTACGGACTGAATTTGTCCCTAAATAGTGTTGATTTTCAAGTTGACATCCTGTCCTTTTGCTTGCAACTGACTGAGGAGCGAATCCGTAAGGAAGACATCGGTCGATTGATCGTCCAAAATGGCGTATGTTGGGACTCTTGAAATACTCGGAGGAGTACTATTTTGGCGCAGGAACGTGACGTCCGGTTTGGGCGAGATATTTTTGCACATGCATTAAGTGTTTGCTCGGTTCCTGGAGAGGGTTCGTGTTCCGTTGGATGCGTTGCATGTTTTGGCAAATCTTGCAGGTTTGTTTACCTTCATTACAGCTTCTGGCGATGTGCTGGTTTGAGTTTACGCAATTGAACTCTACGCACAGCCTACTCTTCATTAAAAAATCCTTGCGCTCGTTAAAACTTAGCCTTCGAAGCTGTTCACAGTCGTTAGTTGCGTATTTGTGGTAGAAACAATAAGTCGACCTTTGGTTTTCGTTTTTTTGTGCCTGCTCTTCATCATTTTCATCACGTCAAGTTGACGATCCCTCAGTTACGGCCGCCAGGACGACGTGTAAATGGTTTTGTTGGTTATCTTAAGCTACCTAAACGGAGGATTTGTGGAATCATCATTCTTTCTGCATGATACTTCACGGTTTCAGCAAAATCATTGAAAGAAGGGAAGGCATCCTTTCCTTTCTCTCTCTGGAGCTTTATTATGTTGTCTGACCATTTAGCTTTGAACCAACCAGGCAACAATAATTGGATTTGCGAGGGGAATTTGAACACTTTCGAGCTACTGATGTTCTCTGATGCGATATGTACCTGTTGTAGATAATCGCTGAATTCTTCTTTGTCGCTTGGGCTTATCTTTGGCCAAGCACTTAATCTCCTCTCAAAATGTGCTCCACGAATTGCATTATTACCAAACCGATCTTTAAGAATGCTTCGTGCTCGTTGGTACGCTGTCTCTGGATCTCGAACCATATACTGGAGTTGCTCAACTGTACTCTTCGCTCTACCATCTAAATACTGGTATAGGAGATGTAACTTCTGTCCTGGTGTAACTGGTGCTGATCCGATCAAGGCATCAAATACAGTTTGCCATAGGAAAAATTTTGTTTTGTCCTCTTCGTCTCCTTTGAAGATGCTTGGTTTTGCCTGAGGAAGTCGTAGCAGTTGGCTCATTTTGATGAAAGCTTCGCACAACTCGACTGAGTTACCTTGTTCTTGTGTCCTGTAAGGGATAAACATTTGTGGGTTTCTGGCGAAACCTTTCGAAGCACAGGGGGCTAATATTGCTGTCGATTGGCTTGATTCTCTCACTGACATTTGGTTGGGTTGGTGGCATGGTTTCTGAGTTCAGGCAGGAAGGTGTTACTCCATTCTTCTCTGTTGTCTCCTTGATATTATCATCATGGGTGTCAAGATTACCATGACTGGGACTGGGTAGATGAGGGTTAAAATAATTTGTTGCAGCATTAACTTCTTCAGCAATTG